TCATGTCACATTTATTTTGATTCGTGACATCAAAATGATGCTATTTTAGACTGATATATTATAAGATCTTCACGAAGTGCTTTTATCATCCAGCAGTAAGGGGGCTCTCGTGGCCTAGAGGTTAAGGTGTTGACCTCTCATTCAAAGGTCCTGGGTTCGAATCCGGGTAGCGACCGAAAAATTTTCTTTTCTAAAATTCTCCTTTCTCCTCCTTTCCTGCTCTCTAGCAATATTCTTTCTTCTGCTTTCGTCTCCTTTTCTGCCCCCACCCCCTCACCTCCTTTGCCCCCTCCTCTCGGCTCCTCTTTCTGCAGCCTTTCTACTGCTACTCCTTGACTCCTTCTTACAGCTGTCTTTCTGCCACACCCCTGATCTTCTGGTAGGAAAGATCTACACCTAGCCTTCTTGGACAAGGGCGAAAAATCTCGGAGGGCTCGTGTGCAAGTTGCGTACGTTGAAGATCCCGGTGGTCTAAAATTGATGAGTAGGCTTCGGATGCCACCCGGGCAAAATTCAAAATTTCCTACCCACTGAAAAAGTTTAATGTGTCCCGCGCGCTCATATGATCTTATGCTGTTGCGGGCGCTGTAAAACACTTACCAAAAAAAAAGGGACAATAAATTTTGGTCTGGCATACTACTCTGGCAGTTTTCATAATGATTACTTTCTTGAAAACATTGAAATTCTATGGTTTTGACAAGTTTGAATTTAATGTTTGTTGTCTCTATGAGATTGAGGGTAATGTAATCAAGTGTGTTTCACATCCAAGATACCCCAAAGCCCCAACTATGTGCATGTATAGCAAAATAATCGCGTTGGAGTTATTTTCACTGATTTACCCTTTAGGATGGAATTTATTCACTAAGAACGTCTGTTACAAATGGGTACTTTATTGAAATTAACTAACTGCTGCCATATGTTTTCAACAAAGGTATATATTTGATACTGCTGGTGAGGTATGAATGCATGATACTACGTGAAGGGTTGTATTGTGTTCTGTGATATATGTAAGAGCAATTTACCAGCAAAGGGAATAAGAATGGAGGAAAAAAAAATGAATTTGACAATTTTGATGAGTTTCATGCAGCGTGCATCTTTGTTCTAGTAATAGCAGTTGTACCAGATGTCTTAACATTGCTAGCACTCTCTAGTAGTAGATGTTGAGGGCAGGTTAGAATTTACGAATGACTCATCTACTACCCCTGCTGGATTGCCTTGCCCTCTACGTTTTTTTGTAAGTTTTTGTAAAGTGTTTTACGGCGCTCGCAACTGCATAGGTCATATGAGCGTGCGGGACACACCTAATATTTTCAGTTGGTAGGAAATTTGGAATTTTGCCCGGGTGGCGGCCGAAGCCTACTCTTATCGATTTTAGACCACCAAGGGATCTTTAGCGTGCGCAATTTGCACACGGGCCCTCCGAGATTTTTCGCCCTTGTCCGAGAAGGCTAGGTGTTGATCTTTCCTACCAGAAGATCAGGGGTGTGGCAGAAAGACAGCAGTAAAGAGGAGCCAAGGAGTAGCAGTAGAAAGGCTGCAGAAAGAGTCAGGTTTATCACTGCTGTTGGCATAGTGACTGCTATTCGTTTGATCAGGTTTATCACTGCTGTTGGCATAGTGACTGCTATTCTCACCGGCTGGAAATTATTATTTGAGCAATTGCCAAAACGTGAGACTCTCTTTAGACTCAGTGGTTCCAAAAAATTTTTCTTACCAATTTGACTCCCTTTTCTGTCAGTCTCAGATTGACATTTAGAGCTCATATTCCTAGAGTATCAAAGCAAGGAGATGTAGGGTTTTGGAGATATGGGTCTATTTGTTTGGCAACCACTGTATTTCTTGTATGTATCAGTGATGACAAAAACAGATAAGCAGCAAGGCAAATTATAGACTTTAAATTCCATTTGTTTAGTAAACAAACACTTTGTACACTATGAACTCCATTCATAATGGTAATATGAATGACAAGCTTTGTAACAATGACGCAGTGCACAGAACATGTCATCATTGTTATGTACAAGAAAGGATACACATTGGACATTATCATTGACAACACATCACAATAGTGAAAGGCTGTATAAATACAGTTATCAAAGCCTCAGCACCAGAAAAACACATGTGTAAAACAATTTCTTAACTAATATGAGGCAAAAGCGCAAAATCAATAGGGCTGACTTGTGCATAACAGTGATGACAAACATGACTTGTACATAACAATGATGACACAATGTACAGGAAAAGACAAAATCATGCCTCCAGAGAGAAATGCACACTTTAAGAATTAAAAAAAAACCCAGGAGAGGTTTCTTTTGCTTTGAAACAGACATCAGGTCATATCAAAGACAGTAGACAATCACAATTACGTAGCTAATTATGACCAACAGTACTCGTACATAACAGTGATGACAAAACATACTGGGAAAAAGGTAAAATCATGCCTACAAAGAACAAATTTGCACTGTGAGATACACACAGATCAATAAATGCGTATTTTGTTTCTAAATGAGTCTTGCATGTATGAAATATATGTTGAAAACTTATTGATATTAGCAATTATGAAAAATATTACTTGTACATAACAATGATGTCACAGTGACACAATGTATTGGAAAAAGGCATATCATGCCAACAAAGAACGAATGTGTACTTTTGAGTTAGACAGATAAACAGGGACATGTTTGTCTATTTGTTTGAGTAAAAAGAGCACACATGACTTAAAAAATGTTTGCTCTTAGGACAATGTAATTTCTAGTACATCAGTCAGTCTTGTACGGCTGCATGACGACACCCCAAACGTCATCACTAAGCACAAAAGCTAAATCTATAACATAACCACAGAAATGTTCCATCTCTCGAAGTTTGTTCACACATCACACTCTTGTTCCAGGAATCCAATGTAAACACCACAATTTCACTAAAATATTCAATAGGGTAGCCTAAAAATACGCAAAACAGTCCAGTATGTCACATTGAACGCAAGATTCTTGTGCGTAACCGGAGGGTGACGGCAATGACTACTTTCGTTTTTCTCTTTACCCCGTTGCTCCCGGCCGCTGTTCTGGGGAAGCGGGTAAGGGGAAGTCACTCAAGAAAACAATTATATCCGGGCACTGTTGATGATCCGTTCAAAACAAAAGTAGGCTAAAATTCGGACTTCCGGTACGTTGCAAAGTGACGCCATTAACGGCGAATTATTAAACAGCCGACCGAAATCGTAGATCTAGGAACCCGATGTTCCTTTCGCGCATCGCGGCTTTTGAACTATTGAATAAAGGACGAAAGCAAAAAGATTTAACCAGCTGTGGTGATTCTACTGAAAAATAATGTTGTTTTCTGAAACACCTAGTCCGTGACGACACCACTGACGCACAAGTGATCCGAATTATTCGTTTATTTGCAGACAAATAAACCGATTTCTTGAGCAAGTGAACCTTTCTCGATCACAAATACCATAGAATCAAAGCACAGGTCAAAAAAAAAAACACCCAAAAATACTAAATTTTGGACATTCTTGGAAGTTTGCATTGGTGTGCTCAAAATGACAGTCCAGGAATCACAAAAAACGAACATTTTTGGCAAAAAATTTACAAACTAGAGATTGTAAAGCTGACACTGGGTCTGAAACTGCTAATGCAGGTTCTACATCCTATATTTAACATATATCATATGTATAAGTTTTGGAGGAATAAATACTAATGCATCACATTTTATGCACACTAATGTGAGATGTATGTGTTTTTCCCCACGTTTTGGCAATGGCTCATTTGCTATTGAAGTCTGAGTGAGAGTGACCGGCAACATAATCTGAGTAAGAAATTAGAAAGTCTATCAGTTGCTTACTTAATAGAGCTAGAAGCATGAGTGGGGCTTTAGTTTTGTGCCATACCATTATCCTACACCATTGTAGCCAGTGGAAACGAATAGGCTGACCTATTTCAGTCGACACTTCAGACCAGACTAAAAAAAAACAACCCCCAGCCAAATTCTACTTTAAAAGCCCACTAGTAACTCAACTAACAATAAGCTTGCATACTTTACTTTCCACCCACACCACGCACACACTTGTCCCCATGAACCAGGATGCTGATGGGCTACGTCAGTATTATACCTGTATATCAGCAAAAATACCTCAACCATTTAATGAAATTTTCAGCATACTGAGAAAATTGAAAGTGATGATCGCATGTTCACCAAAAATGGAACTAGAATCTGAACTGAAAACATTAGATTTAGCTCATTCATTGCCCGAATTCTCATCATGGCAAAAGAGTAAAGCTGCACTCATTCTGGGTCTACTCGGTATTTTTCAAACAAATTTACTCCAGTTGTTGTATACCAACTGATTTTCGACCTCAAAGGCCACACAAACATTAAAGTGCGCAATTCAAAAAGAAGATATTGCTATTATAATATTTTGGCTGCTATATTCACTGTCGCCGATCGGCATCCGGTGAGGGCAAAATGTTAATCTAAATTTGAATACATTCGAATGTAGCAAAAAAATTGTCGAAAATAGCAGTAGACACTATTCAATGAAACCATGCAAAAAATGACGACTCAGTTTGGGAAGCAACAACTGAGTCATTGCTCTGGACCTAGTGAGTTAATGGGCACTAGAAAGTTTATTACCATTTGCTCCCACTTATTTTTTGTTGTTGACATTGTTTTTTTTTGTTTAATGTATACCTGCATGTGTTTTTACGGTCCTGTACAGCCAAGGAAAATTAACCTCTTGGATAATAAAGTACTATCTTATCTTATCTTATCTTATTGTATGATTGATGTGTTGAAGGACACCACTTGTTCTTGCTTAGACTATTCTTTCCCTCTGGTGTTTCTGTGTTCTTTTTTTTTTCAGAAGTTAATGCCCGCTGTTGTATCGATATGCTTACTAATACTCATACTGTCATTGTTAATTGTTTAACTGTATGCTGGGTGCTCATGGTCTTCTGTTTAAAAAATTAACTGTTTGACAAGGCTCTTTTTCTATCTTTTTTCAGAGGTTAATCAATACCGACCTGTGATCAATTCTGAGATTGAAGAAAATGGCAAACCTGCATTCCATGGAGAGGTGACTGAAAATGAGCGTGTAGTACAGTTGAAACCTCCACTGTCAGCATTTGACAAGGATGAAGTAGGAGGGGCAAGTGAGTGTGTTGTATTATAATTGTATAGAAAGAGTCGTTACAAGGCTGATAGACACAGTTATGAGATCAAATTATTTATTTTGTCCTTTTTTTCGATAAGAAATTTTTTTCATTCTTTTTGCGTCGAGTAGGAATGTAGTCTTATTGTTATCCAATTATTTGGATAAAGTAAGCTGTTTTTTCTGCCTTTTGTTATAATGAAAATTATTTTTTATACTTATTGCAGATTTTATGGCTGACAATGATAGTCATAAATGTTTTTTTTTAAATATGTGTGTATACTACATGATACAGTGCTGTGTTTCTTACTTTAAATCTTGATGAATTAAATAAATTATTTTACATTTTATTTGAATGTCATCATGCTGATAATTACTAATGTTTGCCGATTTGTAATCTTGTTTTGAATATTCTTCCAACTTTGAAGAAGACTGTCCTTTGTTGCATCTTTATTTTCAAAATGTAGCTTTGTTCCTTACTTTTTTTTTTGTGTTGCGTACATTTTTCAGGGTATATCTGCAAGTACATAATTTCCAAGAACATAAAACATCCCAGAACAAGCCCTCTCCCGTTTGACATCGTAGTCACCGATAATGTTACTGGAGCGGCTGAGATTCGAGTGAGGGAAGGCCACAAACTGAACTATGAAAAGCATCCTTTCTACAAGTTTGGCATTGTTGCCGAAGATTGTGGAAGCCCACCTAAAAGATCTCACAAGTATGATTGCAGGGGTCTTTAGTTTTTGTTATGTCATGCTATTTTTAATGGGTCACTATTGTTGTCTTGAATATATATCTTGCATCTTTTAAGAGAGTATTGTTTAGGGAGATTTAATTCTGAGGTCAATTTGTTGTTTTGATCTTGGCAGATGCTGTTAATTACACTGTTATGGACTCTCACTCATTAATCCAGTGCTATTAACTGATATCTACAGGAAACAATGTCTTATGTATGAGGTTGTCTTTTGTAAAGAACTTTGAAGGGAAAAGAATGAAAGATACTTTTGTGAGTCACAAGTACTGTGTAAGTAAAAAGAAAAGGGGGGGGGGGGGGGTGAAGAATGTATTAGCTTAAAGAAAACGTCTAAATATATCTCTAGAATGTACCTTGATTTTCAATAACTTTTTTTTCAGGGCATATGTGATGATCAAAGTCTTGAATAGAGATGAATTTGCACCCAAGTTTGACAATGATTCTTACTTTGCATACGTGGAGGAGGGCAAGATGTATGACTCTATTGTGAAGATCCATGCATCTGATCAGGATGAGTCGGATGCCTTCAAGACAATTTGCAAATATGAGCTCATGACAGCTAATGCTCCTTTTGAGGTGACCCCTGAAGGTGTTGTGCGCAATACTGAACCACTGGACTACAATATCCACAGAAACTTCATTCTGGAGGTAAGTTTTTTTCTTTCTAGCACTGTTGTTTATGTCTTTTGTTCTTAGTTTTTTTATGACAGTATTATCAAAGACTGTGTATACCAAGATATTGCACTTTCTCTTTGGGCTTTTGTCCGTGGTCTTGGCGGGCTCGCTTTGCCATGTAGCACGGGATGGGCTTCGTCTCTAGGTGATGCGAGGTTGGTTTCATCGCCGACTGCTTGGGGTGTGTGTTTGTGTGTGTGTGTGTACAACTTTTGTTTGGGGAGGAGAAGAGGCGGTGCAGAATGGTACGGGCTAAATCTATGGAACGAGATTTGCTGAGATTGTTTAATTAAAGATAACAAAAATTAACACACAAATAAAAACAAAAAGAATGAAAAGAAAACGAAAGGAAAAAGGGTTGGGGTAGAGTAGGTGGATGAGAAGGAAGAAAAGACAACTGAAAATCAACAAACAAAAACGAGGGAAGTTATTTAATGATGTTCACCGATCTAACTCATGTTGTTTGCTATCCAGTCATTTAATATCGCAAGGATGATTATATCGTTGTAGTTAGTCTAACTCATTGTCCCTGGTCGACACAATATTAATTACAGAATTACCAGATGCTATGAGATTAAATTTCTTTGTCCAACTTAAGAAGTGAATGTATTGTGGCGACACAATGCAGTCTTGCTTTACAATTTCTTTACGACTTGATTTTGCAATCTTTTATAACAATGACTTGCAGATTCAGACTCCTTGTCTCTTCTTAATGATATCAAACAACGACAACTATTTTTTCCCCCGTCATCTGGGTCCTTGAAATACGACGACTGGTGCTGAGGAAAGAGAGTCACATTATTTCTCTTGAGGTGGAGCGTTTTTGATATATTAGTCTTATCAGATTGTTACATTTCTTACGTGAAAGTTTGATTCTGACTGCAATTCGTTGACCAAATTGACATCATAATAATATTATGGATCCCTGTTGTCGTGTTGGGTGAATTGTAAGTTAGGGAAAGTAAAAATAAACTCGCTTCTGAAGAGGATACAGTGAAACTCGGATTCAACGAGGTCGCCGGGCCTGACCTAAAATCTTGTTGAATCTGAGTGTTCGTTATAGCAAACACGAGGTTTTGTGTTGATAATTACAGGCACTGAGCAAGTAATGTATAAAGAGAAGTCACAAGTAGTGCCTGAAATGCCTTCATATTATGAGCTGTGTATAAAGAAAAGACCGATTCGTTCAAATGCGCACGACTGTGTCATCTCGATTGTTTACCAAAAAGTTGTGTTGCTGTGCAGAGCCTAGCGTACGGCAACTTTTGATTCCATAGACCAGCGCACAATTAATTACGTAGATCTACGTCAAGACTAAGACTAGCTTATCATCGTAATAACGATTAGTTGCCAAGGGGGAAAAAGACTGTGACGCGTTTGTCGCGTTTGTATATGCGACGTTCAATGCCCGGACCGCTGGTGCCCCCCCCCTCCTCCCCAACATGCACACACAGCCACATGTGTGCCGGCCACCCATTCGACCCCGACCCACACCAGAGTAGACACGTGCGCATGCCAACAACGCATGTGTTGGTATTTAAAAAGGCCGCTGTTTAGTCGCAAGCAATCGGCAAAGTGAAAAATGGTTAACGATACAGGTGCAATGGATAGTTTCCGGGAATAGATAAAGTTCGTTCTGGGAGAAAAATGAGCGAAACCACGTCTTCTGGGACTGTTCACCCTGGAAGCGACTTCGTTGAATCCGAGGTGGCTGATTTAATTGCTCGTTGAATCCGGGTTCTTTTTATTGATTTTAAAGAAGAAAAAAGTCAGGGAATCTATCTCATCTCGTTGAATCCGAGTTCTCGTTGAATCGGAGCTCGTTAAATCCGAGTTCCACTGTACATCAAAGAACTGTCATGGAGACCAAACCTTGATTCCGAATAAAACAGTATTAAATCAACCTGTTGAAAACTTGTGCTTGAACAGCACATCTGATTTGGACATTGGCGACGGTGGTGTACAAAAATTATTTAATATTTTGGCCTGCTTCAGGCGTTCCATCCCATGAGATGAAAGAAAACAAAGCGCGCTTACAGTTGGGATATGGGATATGGAAAATTGGATACGGTAATGGGAAACAAGAGGTGAGAGATAGGATACAGAAGGAGGGATTTGGAAGATAGGACTATGGTCATATATATATACAATGACTGTATAGCACCGGGTCAGTCTAGAAAATGACAGGAAACAATAATTTTTATTATAATAGAAAAAAACCTCACCCCTCTCTCTCTCTCCCCTCTCTCTCTCCCCTCTCTCTCTCCCCTCTCTCTCTCTCTCTCCTCTCTCTCTCCCTTTTTCTCCTGCCCCTTCTCTCTCTCTCTCCCCCCCTCTCTCTTTCTCCCCCCTTCTCTCTCTCTCTCCCTCTCTCTCTCTCTCTCTCTCTCTCTCTCTCTCTCTCTCCCTCTCTCTCTCTCTCCCTCTCTCTCTCTCTCTCTCTCTCTCTCTCTCTCTCTCTCTCTCTCTCTCTCTCTCTCTCTCTCTCTCTCTCTCTCTCTCTCTCTCTCTCTCTCTCTCTCTTTTTCTTCTTCTTTCACTCCCACCCCCCTCGCTTTCTTTCATCTCATGTCAATTTTATTTCTATGTAAATAGTTAGTTCTCGTGGTTACTAGTATTGATTACTCAATGTACATTACTAGTCTGTCCTAATTGCTCAGATTTTTAATTGGGAGCTCAATTCCTCCCGTTTCGTGCAGTGGTGTAAGATTAGTGTGTTGTAAGATATGGTGTGCAATTTTGAAATAGTTTGGCATCAATATTTAACTATTTCGATACAATACCATTAAACGGCATTTTAAACAAATTTCCTCTTACCGATTCATGCCGATTTTCTGTATGTTTTAGAGGAAGGTTTTCTGGTTCTAATGACGCCAAAATCATCTTTGTTGCAATTTTTTTTACCCCCCTAGTGAAATGCACAGCTAAAGTTATTCGCATATTATTTATATTTATTAATACTTCAGGGTGCTGTACCTGAATTTAATTCTATAGTTAATTACAAAATGATAGCTGTTTTTTCACTTTCCCTGTGGAGACAACTAGGGGAAACTTGCTTAAGTGATTGATGAATCATGCAACTTATCCCTCCCCCTCCCCACCACAGGTGTTTGCCACTGATTGTGGAGGGAGACGGTCGGACCCTGTGTTTGTCAACTTGGCTGTGACTGAGAAATGCCGCAGCGGATGGTCTGGTCTCCAGGACGTCATCAAGTACCGTGCTGGCTCCGGTCAGCAGATGCTGGCAGAGGGTGCTGCTCTGCGCTTGTGCAACGAGGACTGTCAGCCCACCCAGGTCAATGTGAAGCTTACTTTGACCACCAAGCACATTGGAAAAGGCTGTGACCGCGACACCTACTCTGTAAACTCGCAGCGGAAACTCTGCGGTAAGCTTCTTTTTTTGGAAATGATGGAGTTTGTAGTTTGCAATTTCCTTCGACGATATTGTTTTTGTTGTAGTGGAATATAATATATTTGGATATAATCTTTCCATAACAGAATCATTGGAGAGTTGTTTCTTGGGATTTCTGTTTTGTTCTAGAAGTGTCCACATGGCCGAAGTTATATTTCTAGTTTTTTACTTTTAGATTTTTAGAGGGATATTCTTTATGAAAACTGTTTTTTTAGGTAACTTTAAGAAGGCTTTAGACCATGTATTTATGTTGTCTGAGGGGAAATGATGATGTTGGATGTTGGACGGAAGTAATTAACTCAAAGAGAGATTGTATTTTGTTCAAGTTATTGTGAGTAGGGATACGTTTTTTGTAAGGCAGATCCTGACGCATATGTAATACATTCCTAAAAAATCAATTGCTGTGCAGGTGCCAGTGGGGACAGTGTGGATCTCCTGCCCTCCCCTGACAGTGCTGAGTGGTCTCACAACATCCCGACAGATGACGGCCACGAGATGGATCAGGTCTTCTCCTTTGATGGTGAAAGCAATGCTTTGGAAGTGCCCGAGTCTGTTTTCAACCACATGCTTCATGAACACTTCACAATCTCCGCCTGGCTAAGACATGGGTCTCCGCAGTCCTCTAGACAGGCTAAGGCCCCGAAGGAACATATCCTGTGCATGTCGGATGGAGACGGTGGGTCTTTTGATTGTGGTATATTATGTCTTGTCCTTTGCCATCTCCTCCTCCTTCCCCTCTTTTAGACAGTACATGTTCTACATTTGCTAGAAGCTGTTATGTTTCTTTAGAAAAGTTTATGCACTGAGGAATATGGATTTTCTGATGTTAAGCTGAATTCTGTTTGTGAAATTTTCACATCTGTCTTTTCACATTCTGTTTCTACTCATGGGAAGTTTTGTCACAATGACATTGTAACTTCAAAATATTTTTTGCATTAAAAAGTTGCCAGGTTTGCTATTACAACTATAATTAGGTGAGGCACAGTCTGAATGGAAAGCTCGAATTCAATTGAAACTGATTAACAAGTACTACATTTTCATTTTTCTTTTTCATAGCTTATATGAGACTGTTATGAGAATGGTCGTTTTTTAATTGAATTAAAGAAACCACGTGGGTGCTCTGGTGTGGTTTGCTTCTTCTTTCCTATCAAACATCTATCGTCCTTATTTCCTCTTCATCTTTTTAATGTTTGTTACTCTCTTGTATCAGTTCTAATCTTCTGGCGCTCATGTGACCTTATGCAGTTGCGAGCGCCATAAAACCTCTACTAAAACTAAACTAAAAGAAACCACAAGTAATTGAAGTCAATTCTTTTATTTATGTAAGATCTGATGTTGTAATGCTACTTTGATTTAGTGTGCACATATAATTTTCTATGATCGTTTTTTTCATGTCCACAGGCATGAATCGGCACCACTATGGCCTGTACATTCATGGGGAGAAACTCGTCCTGCTTCTTCGTAAGGAGGCTGCTGATGTGAAGTCCCCCAAGGACATGCAGATATTTCGCCCAGCAGAGTTCCGCTGGAAGATTCCTCATGTTGGGGACAGCCAGTGGCATCACTATGCTGTCAGTGTTGATCAAGACCAAGCGGACAAGAATGGTGGGGTTAGTGTCTTTTCTGTTACAGTTTACAATGGAGTCTGCTTTCTCCTCAAAGAAGACTGTTGTAAAAAGTAAGAATTAAGTGTAAAGTTTCAGCATTATTCAGTTTAAGAAAAATACTTTGAAATTTATTGATTTCATTTTGCATTACAGTAGCTAGCTATGGGTGTGTTATAATGCAGTGAATTGGTCTTATGTAGTACCTATTCAACCATTTTATTTCTCCATTTACATTGTATCTGTTTCATTGGCTTGTTGTAGCTACTTGTTTTTTTTATAGTGTTGAAATTCCTAGGGTTCGTTTCAGATTCTTTGAAGTGAAATGCAAGCGCTCTTTTTTTTTTGTGTGTGTGTTTTACAGCGCTCGCAACTACATATGGTCATATGAGCGTTCGAGGCCCTCTTTAAGCATTGGTTATGTTTTATTTTGTAAGTAATTTCGTTGTTGTAATTTTTCAGGTGAGACTTCACATTGATGGTAAACTTCTGGCCACAAGCGAAGAGAACTTTGAAATAATTGATGATTGGCCTCTCCACAAGACAAAGAAAGTGCACTCTACAAAGCTGACTGTGGGCGCATGTTGGCAAGGTATGTGTGAATTTTCAAGTCTTTGTTGTGTATTTTGGTTTTTAATGTATTGTTTCCCTCATTTTGTGCTCTGCAGGCTCATGTATTTGCTTGATAGACTATTTTGTAGGTTGATTAATTTGCAAAATTTAAATCACATTTAGCACTTGTCTTAAAGTACGAGACAAGCATCATTGTTTGAGAAAGCTTGATTGGTTCAGAAATTTTATGAGGTCAAGGTGCTTGATGTCAAGGCTTATCAGTGATAATCTGTTTGTTGAATTATGGGAGTCTTCTTCTTCTCGATCGCATCACACTTGAAGTCTGGTATCTGTCATAAATAGGGCCGTCCTGCTCAGTTCATCTGGGGGCCCGTATAGCTTCTCTTGTAGCGTCAGTGGGGTTGGCCACGTTTCCTGTCTCAGGGCCCTGTGTGTCTTGCAGTGCTGAAGGATGTGTTCAACAGTTTGGTTCGCCTCTCCACACTGGCATTTTGGTGATTGTACTAGTTTAAAACATTTGTACATATGTTGTCTCAGTCTTGTGTGTTGTGTCCTTAGTCTGAAGATAATCACTAGTTCTTGGCGGGACAGCTCATGGTAGTTATCTGTTGTCTGAGGTGCTTTAAATAGTGTATTTATAATAGTTTTTATTTCTGTGTAATTAACGCTGTTGTCTGGTTGCTCTTTTTGTGCTCCTATTTTGGCCATCCTGTCTGTCTGCTCATTTCCCAAGACACCACAGTGTGATGGAATCCACTGCAGCATGATCCTCAGACATGGGATGTCCTCAATTTCTTTTCGTAGCCTTGGTAGTTTGCCGGAAGTGATTGCCTGCAGTACTGACATGGCGTCTGTTAGGAATACTACTTGGCTTTGGGGGTCTACCACATTCTTGATGATGATGTTTGCTGCATGTACTATTATGGGAGTTATGAGAGCCTATTTGTAGTGTATTGGATCCTCTTAATAATTTTTACTCTCCTGAAATTTTTTTTTGGGGTACCATTGAATCTTTTCTTATTTTATCTTTTGATGTCTTCCCTAGGTGCCGAAAATACCTTTGCTCATTACTACAAGGGCTACATGGCTGGCCTGTTTGTGCTGAAAGGAAAGACTGAGAGTGACCGGGTCATCAAGTGCTTGAACAATTGCAAGGAGAACTTGGATTTCCACGCTGTCAATGACATGTCGAGTGGAACGGTACTGGTTTTTTGTTTTGTTTTTATGCATTACATTATATCTCTCTTTTGAATAATTTTTGGCATCAGAAAAGTCGAAGTATGTATTTCAAATCATTCTAAGTGAAATTTTTGAAGGGGGTGAGGGGTCAATATATTTTTTTATACAAGTATTCTTTGTGGATTTTTTCTGAGTACTCTGTGGTCTCTTAATCTAAAAGCTCATGGCACTTGTCAGAATGGTCAAGATCTCAAATAGGATTAGCTGTGCATGTCCCTGATGCAGGGCTGCCTAAATCTACCAATTTTCCGGTAGATACCGATTTTAGGCCTGTTCTACCGCCAAACCGTTAAGGTGTCAAAACTACCGGATTTGCGATGGGTGCTGAGAGAATAAAAAGAAAAAAAATAAATTCTGCAGTGCTTCCATTCTTCTTTGTTTTTACGGAAATCCGTACATTCCGAAAGTTCTGTACTTGCTGCATCATCATATCAACTCCATGCGTTGAAAGAGAGAGAGAGAGATATCAGCTCTTTCCTTCGTAACTTGTCAGATATTTACAGCAACTCCTGGCAATAAGTTGTATTAGAAACTGCCAGATTGCGCATTTCGTACACTTGACCATTGTCTATCTGTACCGTTCGGTCGGCAATAGTTTTTCACATGCATATCGGCTAAAATCTGTCTACTCACGATAGATAATCTTCCTCCTTCTTTTCATTCATTCTTTCTTTCTATCTTCAGTTTTTTGCTGCGGCTAGAAAATCTGTGTGTTAATTCATTTATCTAGAAAACAGAATTGTGAATGTAGCAATGCCAATCGCCCGCTGCGCCTTGGGCCGGAAATCGGCCTCCGCGCGAGGGGTAATTTTTGGGCCGCTCGGAATCAGAAGTGACTCTCTTCTAAGTATAGTTACGGGAAAACTCCTGGACGAAAATAAATGAAACTCGGCAACCAACCAGAGGAAAGGTTAAACTAACGACATGCCAGCGTACAATCCCGAACGATTACTAGAACCGGAGATATTGCCGTGTTTGTGCAAATTTCCTCTGTGGTTCGAAAACTAAGCGGAGCTGAGGGTTGATCGCCGACCACACAAGCGCCCCAAATGTCTTCTTTATTGCTGTAAAATTTCAGATCTCTGCGTTTAGTAGATTTTCCGTATCAACTTAAAATTACCACCCATCCATTGATAAAACACTAGATCTGGAAACTGGATCACGCATTCCAAACGCGAGATGCTGGCATGCAAGAGGTGCGTGATCGCTAGGCGGCATGTGATTGGCTGCCTATAACCAAATAGGTCACCGATGACTACATCGCGGGTTTTCCCGATAGCGCTTTACTGAGTTTTAGAAGGGGTGATCGCGTCGCGGTAAAAACGATGTCACGCAATTCAACAAATTTCACGCAAATATCAGTCTTTAAGATCCAAAGTAATGAAGACATTGAAAAAGTGATTACAGAACTAGATTTTGCACTAAAAATCACATGGAGATGCCAAGTTTCATTCATATGCTCCCATTCATTACTGACTTATGAACAGTTTTTCCTCAAAATACATCAAAACATATCCCACATTTTGGCGATTTTTTCCTATATGAAGGTCCTCCAACATTTTGCAAACAAAAATCCCAATATCTTTTTTATTTATCAATGGATTTTTAAAATTTAAAAGCCATAGTTCTTAGAATTTACTCTATTTTCATTTAAGCCCATTTTAAAGCAATTTGGATGAAAATTTAATTTTTCATTGTCATTGCTAGTGAACGTAGAAGGAAAATCGGTATCGAAGCAAATCATTCTAAAATCTGTCTTGGTCTAGAGAATTGGTCAGTACCAAATGAGGATTCTACGCAGGGGGACTGCGGGAATTTATTACCCGGGAATCTGAAAAAAAAATTGCTTAGACCCGCGAAAATGCACAAAGTCCTCGAAACCAAATCTGAAAAGGCCACTGAGTTCATATTTTACCGGTCGTGTTTCTGGTATTACGTTCTGCTTTCCCTAGTCCGAGAGTAGGTTTCACGCAAATGAGCGGCTATGGCGGCAGGCGGAACTGTAGATGTAATGCTGAGACTCCATCGGGAAAATCAAAATCTACTTTTGCTTTCGTTACCGCTCAGAATTGTCCGATGATAGTTCGTTGACGTTAGATTTACAGTTAATAAAAATTTGTAACCTGCAGTTTGTGCATAAAAAACACAGTGTAGCCCGAAAAATTTAATCGATATTCTCACTGATGTCACTATAATGACAAAAAAATGGAGAAAAAGAAAACACGCGTCCTCCGATTTCTCGACTGTCGGGCCCGTCATCGTGACCGGTCAATGAACCTGTGAGAGTTCGTGAGTAAGGGACCGGCTGGTGGTTGTTGGGGAAAGCCTAATCAAAGTTTATTCAAAGTAGGAGTGTTGCAGGGCATCGGAATTGAGGGGAGACGTTTGACGCAATGAAGTCTACGTCAGCAGGAAAAGGCCGCGGTGCAAGAAACTGATGCTAAAATAAAAACGATAAGTGGAAGTGGTTTTGACATTCGACAATCGAGTGCGTAAATGAGGGAACATTAGAGCACAGGCTTGATGATTGTATCTTCAAGGTTGATGTTCCCGGATTTGTCGGATTTGTCAGTGATGACAAATTCAATAGTGGCAATGAGGAAATACCATTTTCAACCCTTGGAAAGCTCTATGTTGGATGCCTATACATCATGATGGCTTGTTGCTGATTAAATACGGGTACTGTGATTTAGCATTTTGAAAAAAATCAATACTTAGTCCATGATGCAGTGATTCACTGATTGCCAGGTTTTCAGCATCACTACATCCCACGCTCTCACAGTCCTTCCAGCCCGGCTCTCGGTGCACGCTCTCTTTTATTTTCACTTTTTACTCTGCAGTGAGCCTAACTACAAAGGTTTTATAAATAAGTTTTGTCTTGCATGCTTTTTAAAATCCGTGATTGCTGAAACCCTACGTGGTTTTAGCAGTTGATGTTCTTCTTGCCTGTCCTCGGGCCCAGATCAGAATTCATTTTGGTTTTTTTAGGGTAAAACTAGTTAAGATTAATTGTCTGTCATACCTAAGTCACGAAGGACCTAACAGTGTCCTATGCTAGTGTCGGGAAATATGTTTTAATATAGCTTCTATTGGTATGGGCAAGGAGTTTTGAAGTCAGTTTGGCAATCACCCTGCACTCAATTCCTGATTCAATACTGAATGATAGGGGCCTTGAACGATAGTCCATAAAATGATTTTAAAAATCAACAACCTCGCCTCATTACATACACACTGTTCATCGTAACTTGTGCACACCCATACGCCCCCTTCCTTCCCCACGCACATATATAAACACATGCGAGAGCATGACAACATGCACACACACACACACACACACACACACACACACACACACACACACACACACAAATGTGCATGCACAAACAAGTTTTCAAAATATAATTACCCAATAACACGGAAAGCAAATGCGTTCGATGGGGTAACAGTCATCTTTTTTTTTCTTCTTTGTCTTTGTACTACCTGATTTTGGGCCAATCTACCTGAAAATAACTCTGAATCTACCTGAAATGGGAACTTTGAGGTAGGCAGCCCTGCTGATGTAAGGTTTGTTTGATGATCATTGAGCATGGCGGATTTGAATTTTTACCATCATCCAAGCACTGATCATGAAATAAAATCATTCAGATAATTCTTTCATCTTTCATTGTTGATCATTTTTATCTTTGGTGTTTTTTTTTTTTTTTTTCAGAGTGTGAGTTTCAACCCTGACTTAACTGAGTTCACCATCAGCAGCCGTAGTGTTGAGGAAGTAAATCGTTTGATGGGACAAGTGGCTTACATCAATGCCCGTACCTTCCCCACTCCTGGCTACAGGGCTCTCAGCATTGAAACTTCTCTGATGTAAGTGTGTCCGTACATGTCAGTCTTTGGGAGTGATGTCACTGGTTCTAGGCATTTTCTTAGGCTCAAAACAAGATTCATTTTATATTGGCGAATATGATGAGGGGAAAATATAAATAAGTAAGAACAGACTGAAATACGTAAGTCACACAGTATCCAGGTGCCACACTGACATGTTGTTGACTGGATATAATGTACCTACATGTGTGTGTGTTTGTGTGTGTCTGTGTGTATGTATGTATTAATGGAGCATGCACTGTCATTGTTATGTAACATGCCCCTGGAAAATTGAGAAGCCGGGTTGGCAGTCATTTTGTTTATGTCACGGGTATTTTCTTCTTTAGGACAAGGAAGATGTTTTGCCTCGCCTCACGGCTATGTCACAGAATAACCTGGTATTCCTAGTTAAAGTGTTTTTTTTATCTCTACGGTGAATTTTACATAAATCGTTAAAAAGTACAATTTTCTGTAAATGTACCTGTCAAGTGCTTGAAACAGCGGGGTTTACCAATGTAGGCGATATGCCCTGAGTGTAGATGTTAGGAGAGGAAAGGTTGAGCAGGAGAATTGTCTTAATTTTGACACAGGAATTTTTCACAATCGGCTTCCACAGCTGTGAGGGCCAGACCGTGGTGCTGCCTCTCTTGGAGAAGCGCATCTTGGTGGAGGAGCAGCAGGAGCCGGTGTTTGTCATCACAGGCTACTCCAACCTCACCCGCATGGTGTACGAGTTTGAGCGCGGCCTGCGCGTGTTCCACGACATTCACATCTTTGCCCGCTCGCAGCCTCTGGAGGATGATGACGATGAGATGGACGGGGAGGAGGTCGATGAGAATCTGAAGGCTGCCAAACTGGCCCAGAAGGTGTCCAAGACCCTGCTGCAGCGTAAGTGTACAGCAAGAACTGCTGAGATTAGAGGGTAGCTCTGTGTGTGTGTGTGTGTGTGTGTGTGTGTGTGTGTGTGTGTGTGTGTGTGTGTGTGTGTGTGTGTGTGCACGTACGCGCACATGATCATGCTCAGATGTACCTGCACCAAAAGGGAAGGAAAAATTGAAGAATTATTTGATAGAGAGATTGACTTTTGTTTATTTGTGTAGTATATTGTTTTTGTTTTTGCGTTAAAACACACATGCTCTCCCAGTGGAAAAAAAATTTCATGGGAATGTGATCTTTTATTTTGGTTGTTTATAAGTGTTGGAATTATGGCAACAGATACTGGCTGCAGCTGTAATGATATATCTTACAATGTTAAAAGTTTTCCTCCTACTCTATTTCTTTTTGTTCTTTTTTTACTCTTGTGAATTATTGGCATGAATGACAGTATTGCGCCTCTTTCTCAGAGACTTCTTTTTCTTCTCCCCCCCTCACCCACCCAGCCATACTTAATGGCCTGTACGGTGCTATTAACTTGTATACCTTTTTTGTCGATTAAAACGTTTTGTTTAAGATGCCACTATTTATTTTCTTTCTTATCTTAAGTTGTTACTGTATGTTTGTCTTGCTTTATTCGTCTGTAAAAAGCCCTTGTTGTTTCAGTGCCCTTCTCTTTAAAACTTAATCAGTAACATCAAGAAATGAGACCAGTTATCTCTGCTAAGATATGAAGAGATCAGACTCAGTTTGGTGGTATGACAAACATTTGTGTCGTTTCTCTCTCCCCTTGTAGAATCGACTGAGCCGAAGGATAAAGAGTTCATGATCGATAAATGCCATGTGACTGCCGACCCTCCCCTGAACTTGTTCATTGAGCACCTGTCCCTTCCCACACACCTCATGGAAATGCATGGTTTGGAATGGACTGAGACCAATGACGGCGTTGTCATTAGAAGTAAGTATGCAACCCAATATTGGGTCAAGTGTTTACCATTATGTTGATTTGCGTTGCTCTCAATTCTTGCTTGTTTTTGACACTCAAAGCACACCCTCTCCCAAACTACTGCCACAACCTCAGAAAGGAATAAAAGACGAAAGTCGTCTCTGAGTTAACTGCTACTGCAATTTTTCATCTATCTTGTTTAGGTGATCAGGCAGGTGGTTGAAGGGCTTTGTAGTGGTGTCCGCACCTTTACTCCATTTTTGGTTCTGTGTTTCTGTTTTAATTTTGCCTTTCTCTGTTAAGTAAATATTTGCTGTTGTAGCAGTTGGCTGTTAATAATAAAAATATTCAAATATGAAAAGTAAGTTGTCTTGAAAGGGTCAGAATTTTTTTATATGAATGACAAATATCCTCTCTCTGGGTCCTTTTTATTGTTGTATATAAACATGTAAGAATTTTACTGAGATCTGACCATGATATATTGTGGTTTTAGTCACTTGTGTTCAATGTTATTGATGGTTTTATGTTTTTTGGAGGCTGAAAGTATGGTGGAACTAAGATCTGATGGTGCCATGGCATTGGTTACAGAACTAAATATCTAAATTACCTTTTGTGAAATGTAAAAGTGGTTGTAAATGTAGGGTAAAGCAGCCAGATTTGATGTGTACTGATCTTTTTTTTGTGTGTGTCGTTCTCAGATGCTGATACGATACCCAACTATGAGAACGTGATCCGCAGCATCCATTATTACCACAACAAACCAGAGGAACTGGCCAATCGTACATTGACTCTCTACTGCTCCAGTCAGAACCAGAGATTCATCAGCACTAAGTTCATTGAAAGGGTATGTTTTTTGGGGGGAAGGGGAAGGAATGATGAAAGTTTTTCCATTCTACTTGACACAGCTAAAGACAATGTGGAAAAATAGCCATGTGTCTTTCCTTTGGAGTTTGAAGGTAAAAGGAATGAATATTTGCAGAAGAACTGATAAGTTTAGTTCTGAAATCTCTGTATCTTAGCCATGCCTGTCAATATGTTGTATGGCACTGACCAACTTGTGTATTAGAATAGGGGAATTTTTATGTTGAGTCTGATAGGGATTTTGGATGTAGGTAAAATTATAAGAAAACGTTTATTAAATGTTTTTGAGGATGGTTTAGCGATGTGGACAAAGACTTTTTTCTGTTTTTTGTACTGGTAGTGCCTATAGAGGTTTGAATGGACAGTGGTTCCTGCTTGAAAGAACAAAAAGGACCATATGTAATTGTTGTATATCCCTGAAAGGTAATAGAAATCTCCATGAAGATGAAAGTTAAAACATGATCTACAAATACAGTTAGGAACATGAGTGAGTATGATCATGTTCACTCAGATAAAAGTATCCTAGAACCCAGCTTTATGTATGCTGGCTGACCGCCCTAATGCAGTCATTTTTTGATAATTCCAAAAGAATCGTTTATTAGGAACTAATTAAGTTAAAGGGATTGAGACTTGGCACTGGGTTGTGAAATGTGTGCAGAACCTTTGAGGTAACCATACTTCATTCCTTTTTTCAATATCCATTAGTTTTGATAAATTGTTAATGATTTCAATGTTGTAGAAATGATAGGAAAATAACCTTGACTTTCATGTCTCAGGCACTGTCAATAAAGTTCTAAACTACCTCAGTTTTAAACTTGTGGCGACTTGTTGAGATTTTTAAAAATAGTAAGAACAGTAGTTAAGTTACTTATTGATCTATATATTCCAATCTTATACTCTATGATACACTCTCAATTCTGGTTTCAGTGATGTCAGAATCATTGTTAGGTGCTGAAACTTCGGTTCTGATATCATTCAGTGAGTTGCTATTTTAAGGATGAAAATGCTGAATTCTTTTATCAAGTTCAGATACTGTAGAAGAAGAATAGAAAGCTAGAAGTTTCCAGCAATTTTTTATATTTTAATTTGACCTCTTTGTCTTCCCCAAGCTCGTGGCTGTGCACCAAGGCCCCCCTCCTCCCCATCCAGCCAACATCCAGAACAATGCACAGAATGTCCACCAGTCACTGAGGAACACAGAAGCAGCTCATGCTTCAGTGGCCAGCTCCAGTAAGTAGTTGTGCCACTTTATGTCAGGGGAGTCTTTGGTCAGCTCTAGTAAGTAGGTGGGTGATTTGCGGGTGCTCTGCTGTGGTTTGCTCCTTGTTTCTTGTCTAACATCTATTGTCGTTACCTCTCTTATTTTTTGTGTTTGTTACTTTCTTGTAACACTCCTATTCTTCGGCACTTTTATGACCTTGTTATGTTATATGTGCTGTAATACTCTTTAAAAATACCAGTAAGTAGATATGCTACTTTATGTCAGGGGTGTTTTTGACCAGCTACAATAAGATACGCAACTCACATTTGACCTCTCTTGTGCCAGGAGGCGATAATGGAGTGCTGCTGTCTCCCGGTATTGTGGCGAGATGTTTGGAAGGTTCAGAGGGTTATACATTGTCTAAGCAGTTCACCTGTTTAAGTTGGTAGGGAAAACGTGGACATAATGTCCAAATGGCTGTAATTAATGTCACTTGCTTATTTTTGTACTATTTTTTTTTGCATCAAAGAATTGTAGCACATGTATCATTTTTACCAAGAATTTGCTGGAATTTACAAATAGACTTTCCCTCCATGATGCCTTTGTTGGAAAAAGTTACCTGAAACTAATATGTACCTCTTCATAATTCTCATCCTTTGAAAAATGTTAGAAATAGCTTTGTTTAGCTGCCCTGTTGCGAAATATGACCTCCTTAAGTGGTTTTCTGGCAATGACCCAGTGTGTGCCAAAGACGCAGAAAGCTTATTCTGTCAATAGTTTGTTCACCATGATGTATGTATAGCATTGGTCAATAACTACTCCCCTCTCCTCCCTCCCATCTTTTTTTCAGACTTGGGCATGGTGGCTATCATTGTGGTGTGTGTTGGTTTCCTGCTGTTCATGATTGTGCTGGGTGTGATTCGCATTCGTGCAGCTCACCGGCGGACCCAAGTTGTGAAGGTGGAGGAGAGAGCAGAAGAGCTGGAGTGGGACAACGATGGCCTCAACATCACCATCAACCCCATGGAGCAAGAGGTGAGAGACTGGGAGGGGAATGGAGTGAGTTCACATTTAGAATTTGGGAGCTGTGAGAAAACATTTGAAGATGCACAAGATATTTCCTAGTTAAACTAATGATGTGGTTGACTTATGAGATCCAATTCTTTTGTATTAATGCATTTTTAAAGAAAATCTCTCCAGTTGGAATTCACTTGATTTTTATGAAAAACAGGATTATTTGAGAAAAAAGCATGAAAAGTGGAAGCTGTAAATTTTTTTCCGTAATACTTCACATATTAGAAATGGTTGAATATTTGTATAATTTAATTCCAGCAGGAAGGGCAAGTTGTCTCATAGGAAAGACCAGGCAACTTGCACAGCCTTTGTACATTTATTCCCATAGATAAATGAATGGAGTAGGTGTCAGTCAGTGTCTATGAGTATGATTCTGAGGACTCAAGGTACCTCCCAGAAATCATGAATAGAACCCATCACTTTTTAATCCACTTTAAATGATGGATGGTTTTGACCATAGATGCCAACCTGTACCTAATAAACTTATTTAATGAGGGTCTGAGTACAGAAGTCCTGTTTTTGCGTCAGGAAATGTGTATTTTGTTTTCTGGTGCTGTCCATTCTTGGACTTGCTGATGCTGAAGAAAAAGGATGAACTTTCAAAACAAGATTTGGAAATAACGAGAACAAAGCCCAAAAGTTTATTTGAGAGATCATAACCAAACATTTCTGACATTTTTACTGGTTCGCTCCGAAAAGCTTTAATTTACTGAATGCAGAAAGTGCATGTACATGTAAAGGGTTTAGAGGGGGGATACTTGTCCATTGCTCATCATGTTGACTTGCTGAATAAGTAAGATTGTTTTTTTATGGGGGGGGGGTTGGTTTTGAAAAGTTGGCAGCTAAGCAAGATAACTTTGCGGTCTGCTTGCAGATGTTTGAGTACGAGGACGGGGCGAGGCCCACGTTCCCGGAGGACAGCGACAGTGAGGACGATGAGAGCAGCATGCAGGGTGACTACGGGGACAGCACGGAGGATGAGGAGCCGGGAGTGCGAGGCAAGGGTCCCACTGGCAACGAGATGGAGTGGGACCACACCAGCATTTGAGCTGGGTGTGCCATTGCCTCTGTGCCTGGCAATAGGCAGGGGTGGTAAGCTTTGTTTCTGTATTTACCTGTTTGTTGTTGTTGTCTCTGCTGCAAGTCAGAATGAGACTTGTACTCAAAATAATGTTAATAGTTCTTTTTTGTTGTTGTTCTGTGTTTTAGTCTTTGATATATATATATATATATAATATTTCCAGATTTGTGTCTGAAAATGGAATTAAAAATTTATGCTTGAAAGTCTCAGGCTTTATAACTCTTCAGTAGAGGTCATAATTGATCGCATTTGCTGGGATTCTTGTGTTGAAAGAATTAATGTCATATTTTGGTTAACTTTTCAGACACCCCCCACCGCGAGTAGAATTATGTCTCTCTAGTTTCATTGATAGCTGGAACTAAAAAAAATATTCACATATTATTGAAATATGTAATTCTTTTTTTCTTTTTTTTTTCAGGTCTTGAGATGAGAGTCAGATTACAGAAGAAATAATGATATTCAAGGTGTTTTCATCAACACAAAGGAGAAATCACATTCCCTTCTTTTGCGAAGAAAAAGGGCAGTGCTATATTTTCACTGAAGAATCTGTCATTCTAGGTGTGGCTATATTTTCATGGAAGATTCTGACATTGTAGGTATGGGACCACACAGACATTTTGTAACTGGTCTGCACTGCCAACAGTTTGGTCTGTGTAGAATCCAGTCTATGAATTGAAAAGTTTCTTGGGTTCTGTTGTTGTTTCAAAGAAAAAGAAAATGAAATGGCTCTACATGATCTGTGTGTTAAAAGCATTCATGTTTTATCGGTAAGTAATGACTGTGTTGTGCTGGGAACAACACGGTGATAATCTGATTTTTTGCTTCCCTTTGTAATTTTTGTCAAAAAAATCAGTATTGGAAAAAATCGTGATTGAAATCTGACCTCTTTGTACCCTATTCCCATTCCTGATGGAAGTAGACTGAAGCTGTTTAATAAGAAAAGGCGACTGCCTCTGAGCTGAAATGTGTATTTATGGGATGATTTGTAACATTCATCCTGATCTTTGATATGATGCACCACTCTGCCAGTTTTACAATACTTTTTAGTTTCTGTTCTATCGGTCCCACTAATGACTTCAGAGTGTTTCTGGTATTACTTGTGTTTTTTAATTGTATTTACTTTGGGTAATTTTCAGTTTAAAGAGCCAGTGAAGTGATAGTTCTAAGAAAATCATAAAGCCAGCTACTGAAGCATTTCGCATGTAAGTTTAATCCTTTCTTTGGGCATTAGGTTAATTTAGTAGAGTATATTCGCGCTAATCAAAGTTGTCCCGTTCGAACAGTAAAGAGTCACAATGTGACAAAGTGTGGTTGAGTATTTTTAACATTCTCGGGGGGAAAAAAAAGGACCCTTTTTTATATAAATTTCGCTGAAAGTGATGTGATAGGGAATATTTGTCAACTATTAGATTGTGCATAGAAGGGAAAAGTACCTTTGTCCTTTTGCACACTTCAACGACGCAAATAAGTTCCTTTTTAATTTTTGTTCAAGAATTGAATTACAAGTGTATCTTTCGTCTTTTTTTTTTTCGTTTGGTCGTCTCACTTGCTAGGGATAAACAGTTTAATTAGAAAATGTTTTAGAAGTTCTTTCTGTCATACTCATTTGCTGCACATAGCTTTTATATGTCTGTATGGTACAGTCTAACCTTCAAACTTTTACACAGAATTTGCATGCTTGAAAATTGACTTGATGACAAGTGAGCGAAAGTATTTGTCAGCTTCTCGTTGGCTGTAGTACAAATGCGGTGTGTTTGTGTGTGTGTTAATGAGGAAACAACATGCGTGCAAGACTTGCGAGATAATGTTAATTGTGTTACTCTTGTAACTTACTTGAAATGGTGGTAGCACGTGATGATGATATGAAGGAATATTGTTTGAAGATATATAAACACGTTCTGTACTCAGTAGTCATTCAGCTTATGCTGGTGTTGGCCCCTGTTTGTTCTGGCTTTTTTCCTTTTCTTTGGAAACTTTTGTTGATAAATGTCATTTGTTATGTTTTCTTTCGCGCTGTTGGATTGGAAAATTTTGATGGGGTGTGACCACTATCTCTTTGGATGAAGAGTTTCTACTCTCGAGGTGTATCTTTGCCCATGAATTCAGGCTCACAGCTTGGAACAAGTCACGGCTCTTCAAAGGGGTGATGGCATCTAAGGAAAAGTGTCCAGTGCTTGTTCAATTTTGAACCATTCTAGATTGCGACATATTTCTAATGAAATGGATCACAGGCGTTTGTAGTTTTATAATATAGATTCACTTTTACACCAGTTGCTAGTGGAGAGTGAGCGCGTGGTTATACACCAAATTTTGGACCCGAGGGGGGGACACATTTTTTGGACCTCTTTCCACTTTGCCATCTTTTGTGGAATGAATTATTTTTTAAAAAGATTTCCTTAACACATTTTTATCCTGTGGCTTCTAAGACATGTCTCTTACTTGTGTTACTGAGAGTAATCAAAGGAAGTGCGATCACAACAAGTTTAGATTTTACTCTTTTTTTAAACTCAAATATTGACAGTGTTATAGTGGACCAACCACTAGTGAAGTCAAGTTTAGGGGAATTGTACTGTAAAGTAAGATGCTCTAGTTTTACTTTGTTAGCATGGTCACACTTTGAAAGGAAAGCAAAAATGATGTTGTGATTTTTTATTATGGGATGTTTTATAAAATGTGATCTTATCCTTTTTTTAAAAGTGTGGTTACATCATGGAGATTCATAGGTGTCTCAGCATTATGTGGCTTGTGTTGTGCTGACCCGGATATATTGGAACAGTTTTACAAACTTTTTTGCTTCATAGAAACATAGTTGAATATCTTGAAGCAAAAGTTAAATTCAAAATATAGTTTTTATTAATTTTTCATATTTTTTCTACACATACATTTACTTTGCTTGGGAGCACAAGTTTAGGAGATTTTTATTGCCTTTTTACACTTTCTTTTTTTCATTGAAAGTACGCTTGTGATATGTATATCTGCTTTCGTATGTTGTTACGGCTTGTTAGATCTTGTTTATCTCTTTTTTTGTTGTTGTTGTTGTTGTTTTATTTATTTTGATTTCTTCTGTCATGTACCATGTTAAGATATTCTACTTCGTTGGTTGAGGAGAAAAAACGGTGGTCAGAACACAATATGGGCGCTTAAGTTTGAAGTTGAATTTTGGATCGTCAAGAAATCAGATTTGAATTGATGTAAGACCAGCTTTATGGAAGAGAGAAAAAATATTCAGGCTGAGACATAGGTGGAAGAAAGTATTTCATGGAGGGAGTTTGAGAGAATATTATCATACATTAGAAATTTGTCAGAAAAGGATGGTTTGTCTTTGTTTTTGTTTTCATTTTTTTTCTTGTAAAAGGACGATGGAATTTGAATGTAATGCCTGGTGTAGCCATTACAATTTCCTTGAGAGTGATGTTCAAGGCTAGTTTCTATGGTTGGTGTTAGCCTGGATGAATGGGATTTGTTTCCTCAATGAAGTATTGACTACCACTGTACCATGTTGTATGTTCTATTTGTATATCTGGATGTACGTACTACTTGATTACAACTTTCTGAAGCTAGTGTTGTGATTTCCATTGACTCCACCTTTGACCTTTGTGTTCATGCTTTTTCTATGTTACAGCTTTAATTCTGAATTCTGTGTGCTCATTAGTGGAGTGGTTTGATCTTTTACAATTTTTTTTTTAGATATTGTTTCCAACTCGACTTCTGGACTTACTGTTAGTGTTTTTTCTTTACGTCCTAACTTCTGTCTCTCTGGTTCTTTCATGACTTGATTTTCATCGTCTGTTCATTATGTTCATGATGTCTTGCCATCTCTCTGTCATTTTCCTGTAGTCTTTTTATCTTGAGAATGTCCTCAAATTTCTCATTTCTGCATCTTGACCTTTGTTCTCACACATCACCCTTTAGGTGCACCGCAGTTGTTACTAGAGCATTGCTATAGCATAATCCATCTCATATGTTGCTTACTTTTTTGTTGCTTTTTATTTTTGTCTTAAAAAACATCCGGAAACCCTATTTATATATATTGGCATGAGCGCACTTTTTTATGTTTAATTTTGTAAACATTCATACTACATTCCATTTGTTTGAACTGAAGCACGCAAATTCCACTTTGAAAAGTTTCTGACACGGTGTTCTTATTCTTTAATCCTTCTCTCCTCCCCCCCCCCCAAATTTCGACATCTGGAGAAAACCATTTTTGGTTGTGACTCAGTGCTCGGGAAGAGCAACTGAAAACTGAACCCAAACGCTTTGCTCAGCCATACTTACTGGTGTTTTATTGGTATGGAAAGTTTACAAAATCTGGTTCGGTGCCATCACAATTTCCTCCTCGTCATGTAGAAACATCGAAGATCTCAAAGGTTGAGTTGCGGCTCTGGAAGCGCTCTTTTCCAGAATGTGATTAGTTACCCAGGATACTGAAGTTACCCCCCCCACCTCCCCTCCCCAGAAAGACTAAGGTTTCGCTGTTTACAATTCATATTTCTAATCCCGTTGTTGAGATTGTTCTAGACTGAATAACGCGACTTGTACAGCGTTATAGTCCCCCGAGTTGGCGGTGTAGAAGACACAAGATTTCATACGGTGTGTGCAATAATAAATATATTGTCTGAAAAAGAGAAGAGGCCACCTCCCCACCACCAATGTGGCCAGTCTGATTTTGATCAAGGTTTTTATTAAAAAACATTTTTTCGGCTGGGGTGTGAAGTTTCACCACATTGGTGGACTAAGTTTATTATCCTCCTATCTTTGTTGCTAGGACCTGGCTGTAATAACTTTTGTTAGTTACATTTTAGTGGTAGATCACAAGCTGTCATCAGGTCAGTGGCTGTTTTGTATCTCAGTTGAATATTATTGCGCTATCATTTTAAAATATTTTTCTTTAATGGAATAGTTGTCTTTTTTTCCCCCCTCTCTGTCTCTCTATTGACATTTTTCATTATTATCAGTTCGATATTGTGATTGGCATCATCCTCATCATACACTCATGATTTACATGTTAACAAAGTTTTCATCTTTGCTAAGATTTCGTCTCATATTTCATTGCCATCTTTATCATCGCCGTCATGTTTAATGCAAACTTCACGTACTTGTTTCTCCTCTAAAATTTTTATGTTCTAGTAGGAAGAAAGGTATTTTTGGTTTTGTTTTTGAGAGGGGGAAGGGTGTTAAAGTTAAAGATAACTGGATCCTTCCCTGTTACCGACGTGAGGTATCCCGTGCTCAAAGAGAGATCTGATGCTTTCAGGAGGCCTGTAGCTCCACAAAAGGGCAACTGTATTGTACCTTTTGGTTAGCTGCTTGATGTTGTGACAGAAAATGTACCAGAGGATTGTATTGTGTCTGTAGGCAGGTTTCTGAACAGAATTTGTGATCCTCTTACTTGTAGTAGGAGGAAATTGCATCATCATTGCTCTCGGGCTCTCTCTTTGGGCTGAGGGGTGTTGTGAGATTCTTGTGATTTCTAGTCAAGACTGAAGTGGCTGGTAACAATGAGGTCTGGCGGTCACAGTCTAACGACATCATGTGTGTGCACTATTGGGAAGTTTCATGGCCGGTCAGTGTCATGCCAGGTTTGTTTTACTGTTCAGTTCAAGGGAAGTGTGATCTGGGATTTCTGCGAGTTTTTGTTGCTTGGGTCGAAACCATGTTTTGATCTGGGGTTTAGTACACCGATTTGGAAATAAGCTTTCCCTTTCAAAGAATAGAAACTTGATGCCAGTTTGCAGGTTTTAGATGGTTAATCACAAAGTGCACTGGAAAAAAACCTCAAGCATTGTTGTCACAATTCCCCCCCCCCCCCCCCCCCCCCCCCCCCGCGAGTGGCTTTTAGCACCCACGTAACAATGTTGCACCTTAGACTTACATAATACTTGCGTTATTCAGAAGGGTTTTACTACCTGCTGTTCTTTCCTCGATATTTTTGTTTAGTTTTCTGCCTAGCAAGTGCTCAAAATGTTTTCTTATTTGGATGAAATTCTTCGTTTTGGTTCATTTTCTAATAAAACTGTCTTCTTCTCTTGTAAGAATATTAAGTGCTAATTTTTCATGATTAACACTGAAGTGAATAGTTTTGTCAGTTTTGATTTCTTCCTTTCATTAAAAAATTTTACTTTTAATGGTTTTCATACATTCTCAGAGCCTGTACATGATAAACAAGTTTGCAAGTTAGCGCTCATTAATTCACCAGATGTATAGTTTGTGTCATATTTAAATGTAAAACAAAACGTATGAAAAAAAAGGAACAATAATAAACTTGTCGGTGAGTTTACCATTGGCTTTTGTGTGTCATTATTTTTCATCTGTTAGTCGTCTTTTACTTATCGTTGCCAAGCTGTGCCACTGTTTTAAACCCAGAAATCAATTTTTTTTTTTCAGGAGAGGGGGGAAAAACTATTTCACTCTTGTACCATTTATATTTACATTAGTACATGTACTTGCTTTTTTTTTTAACATTTAAAATTTGAATTTCAACAAAATAGTTCTTGAGTAAATGCTACTGACACCACAGATTTAACTACAATGGAAAAAATGAATTCAAAGTTGTGGGCTTAGTACATCTGAACACCTGGCAGACATTATGTTTATTTCATTTCTCCTGAATCACCAGGGAATTTGTGGAGTGGTCGTCTAGCTGTAAAGCTTTTAGACTTGCAACTGTAAGGTCATGGGTTCGAATTCTGTCACGGACCTGACTCTGTGTCCATGGGAAAGGCACTTTGGACAAATTTTTCTCACTTCGCCCAGGTGGGAATGGGTACCCAACAAAGGACAGGGAAAGATCTTGTTAGTTTAACATTTATTGAGCACATGCAGTCCAAAGCTTGCAGTGTCTGCTTCCTGGTAAGCCGAGATTATTTCTGACTAGGGTCTGCTGGGGTAATAGTAATACATGTAGCTGTAAAGTGGATATGCGCTATATAAATATATATGCAATTATTTTTATAATAATATTAATTACTGCTGGCTGGACAAGGAATTGAGCCAGATAGTTTGATTGGTAAGAGGCGTGCAGTTAACTGAACAGAAGTTGGGCCTCTGTGGTTCTCTTATGATCGTGTGTTCAGTCTGGTATGATAGAACGTAAAGGTGCTGTGCATGCACCGATCGGTGTGAAAGACCACTTGGACACTTGAAAACAGGAAAAGGGAGAACTGATTCTCGGACAAAATTCGGGACCGGCTAACTATTCCCCTGACAATGATGATATGGCTTGTAAGTCCTAATTCTTTATTCTCCTATTTTTTCCCCCTTCTTTCTATCGGTCTTTCTCACTCCTAGCATTATATTACATAGGCGTTATCGTAACAATATGCTTTTCTTTAGTAAAACTGAAACTGGATGGAAGAAACTGGCTGGTGTAGTGGGCTGGTGTAGTGGGCTGGTGGTAGCCTACTTCGCTGTTCCCTACAGAAGATTTGAGTTCGGTTCTCGTGTGGGGAACATTTTTATCGAGCACATGTACATGTGTCTCGGCTTTCTGTCAGGACATTGTATCCTCTGTTGGGTTGACCCTGGATGGCTTTAGTCCCCCCCCCCCC